GCCTTGTTATTTTCTAAAGATCAAAACTGAATCATTTTGGAAAAAGATTGTGTAGGAACCAAACATCATTTTTTAAACTTTATTGTTTACACTATTACAGATGCCCTGGCCCGCCTACCCCCACTGCCTTTGCCCACCTCCTGCACCCCCTCCCCCACCACTGCCCCCAACATAAATTTTTATATTTACAAGTTTGGGGGGCTCATTTAGATTCAAGACCTGGAAGCAGATGATGGCAGTCCCTCCTTTATAAACGTTTAGTGACTGAATGGATACCACTCCTACCTCCACCAGCCCCCAGTCAACATTCCAAAAACATTCTTGCAGGACAGCAGGATAAATACATATTAACATGTTCAGAATCAGTAGCATTTTGCTATTCTAGTAAATGGAAACAGTTTATGCATTTTCCAAAGTGTCTCATTGATATAAATATGCCATTTACTTCATGATATAGTAAATGAGATACCATTCTTGAATTTTGAAAGTAGGCATACTTTGGCCGGGTTTCTATGGTGCCATTTCTCTGTCATTTGCTGATAAATTATTCTTGAATAAAGGTGCATTGTACCTAGCTTCAGCCCTCTGTAAACATCACATTTCAAGGTTCCTTTTGAAAAAATGTCCATGTAGGAGGAAATCATCCCAAAAAAAGGTAAATTTAAGCTTAAAATTAATTACTAGGTTCTGTAAGCTTTATTTGTTTAAATACAGAAAAGAAATATACAATAGCTCATTAGTTTGAAACTGCCATCAGAAAAAGGATTTTTTGACACACAAAATATTTAGAATGTTTATATAAATAACAGATGGGTAGTGCACAGTTCAGGGGAGCTGAGACTTCTGCTTCCTATGCAATTGTTTGCACGGAGGACTCTGAACCAATGGTCTGGAATTTTCCTACTTGGAAGGAATTGCCCAATGTCAAAGTTGGTGGAAGAATCCAACCCTGGAGGAAAATGAGTCTTGATCAGAGAAGAGAATTTTCCAAGTATAAAGGAATGATTTTGGCTAGACAATAAGAATAAACCTTGCAAAAGAATCTCACCCTGTCTGGCTATGCAGGTGAAATAGCCAACTGAAGATTCTCTCGAAAAAAGAGGACCCTCGTGGACAGTGGTGTCTATTTGAGCCCCAAGAGGATGAGAAGTACTGTTACTGCCATTTGGGGAACCAGTTTAACTTTATTTAAGAGTCAAAATACCCACAAATCAGGTCCCTTTGGAAAAATTCAGTCCATAAAGCACGGCACAGGGAAACAAATGCAGGCAGGTTTTCCTCGCGTGAAGGCAAAGCGCCTGCAGAGAGGGGGGCGGCAGTACAGCTGGTCCCCTCCCCGCCCCGTCCCCTGCCTGTCGGCTGTTAGACGCCCTCTAATCGAAGCTCATGATTAATACGAGGTAAAGCTCCCCAGGATTTCTTTACATTCTTTTTTTCATGTCTCAGTTATGCGCATGTATATCCATGCATTCTGAATTCTGTGTGTATGTGATACAATGAATATTCTCTAGGATCACTAATGTGTAAGTTCCACACATTTTTTCCAGAAACATCCACTAGAAGAAATATTAGCCTAAAGTTTTTACAATTTGGAGTAATCAAAAAGATGCCATAAGACAACAGCCTAAGACCTGGGGAATTAAAAAGTACAACTTGAGTTCTCAACATAACTTATTTTTCAGTATCTTTAAATGTAGCAGATGAGCTGGATTTTCATATATTTTCATTCTGAACATATTCCTAGGGAGGAAAAAGTGATTTCAAGTCCTGCAACTTCCAAAGAAGCAGCAATAACTTATTAATTGTGCCCTTTCTCATCTTAAAGTGTGGCATGAAAATCAGCCTTAGAGACTTCTAAAGATGCGTAAAGTTCTCCTGGGGAGAGCAGTCAGGACACTAGGGGAATCTAGCTGTAGAAGTATTTCAAAACAGCTATTTACATGTTGAAAGAAAGAATTTAATTAATAGTGTTGTAGCTGTGAAGTTAATATGAAGATCTGAGGTCCTATCACAAGGGACTGTTACTTATTTTTTAAATTTTTTGAGCAAGTCACTCAGTGCCGCATTGCTCCTTCACAGCTCTTGCGTATTAATATAGGTCTCAAAGGATTTCGGAATGATGCTTGTGATGCCTGTTAATTTTTTCATTATTAATCAAGATGATGATGTTGGTGGTAATTATAAGAACCACCACATACTGAAACCTCACGATGTGCCAAGATCCTCAGTCACTTTTATGCATTAGTTAATTCTTTCATCAATCCAGCAAAATTAGCGCTGTGGTTTTCCTCCTTTTGCAGAAAAGGAAGCTGAGGCTCCAGCAGGTTATGTAAGTAAGCTTTGGTTAGCTAGCTACCCACAGTCATCCTGACCCCACCATGCATGTACACATCCTCTAAAACATTCATTTTCTTCAAGTTCTGGAAGTGAATCAGCACCCTCAAGATCACGGTAATGAACATGCAACGCAGAGATGGCTGGAAGGTAACAACGAAGGGAACATCTGGAGGCTATGATCAAGGGTCCCCAGGACAGGCCAGATGTCTGACTGCCTGTGACCACAAGACTGTATCCTTTCAGTTAATAAGAATGGTCCGGTAATGCCAGTCATTGGGGCAACACCCAAGTGCACAGAGATTTTGGGGAAATTAATTTGAATCCAGTGTTTGGAGAAAGACTCACTATTTTATAATAAATATTTTGGGCCAAAATCAGGGAATAAGGAGGTTTCTATTAATATGTTTAAGTGGATAAGTCCAAGGAATGCCTTCATGGACTAACAGGAAATAGAGAGAGCTCTAGAAAGTTAGTATAAGAACCAGCACAAATGGACAAGGGATTTTTTATGGAGCCCAACCTGGGCAAGTAGCAGGGGTGCTTGGGTTTGTCCGGGGCACTTTACTGTGCTCTGTTTTCCAGAATAGATTTCCTACAGACTGGACCTGAGGCTACACAGGGAACTAGGGAAATGTCATCAGCCTTTAATATGGTAGATAGAGAGAGACCAACAGAAAACCTTTAAGATGCCCCTTCTGGAGTTATCTAATCTTTTAATGCCTAGCATACTTGACTGATTACTTAACAGCATTTTAATGGATAATAAGATGAGTGATCAATACTATTACATACATTTTTTATAATTTTGTACCCAAAGAAATGAGAAGAAACCCCCTTCACATGCACATTGATATTAGAAAAACAGTTCATAAAATAAACTTGGAGCAGAAGAAGAAAATCAGACTTGTGTGGAGCAAATGAATGCCATTATTATTATTATTATTCATTTTTTATAACTTCACAGGGTTGTTTGGAAGCTTACCTGAGTTACCACATATGATACACTTAAAATAATGCTAAAAACCCAACAATTATATTTACTGTTACTATTGGCAAAGCTGGTCCTGTTCTTAAAATTCATAGAGACTCAGTGGGGTTAAGTGATTTGCCCAAGGGCTCAGAGTTAGTAAGTGCTAATAACAAGATTTGAACAAGACTTATGATTTGAAATTCAGCCTTCTTTCAACACACTATGATGCCAATGCCACAGGGTAGAACCCCTCTGTCTAATTCACTCTAAATCACTTTATGCAGAAGAAAATAAAAGAGACTTTCTATGCAGTGAAATAAATTATGATTTAAAATGACTCTCCCAATCACAAGATACAAAATGCTAGGTGTTGAAAAATGTTATGCTTATTATTCCATGATTATATTATTCATAAGATTTGCATTTGAAAATTGCTTTCTAATCTGCATGTTACAGATGATAACTGGGCATTCATTTAAGTATTTTTTCTGTCTTAGAAATTAGTGGTGAAAGGCAATTAATAGCATAAATATTAAAGGTAGAGTTGGGAGTTTGTATGAACTCAGTATTAGAACTGTCATTTTGGGTCCCCAGAACATTTGCCAATATGAGAAAATGATGATGAGTTCTAATTATAAGGTTATTATAATCTAGGGCAAAGGGTAACTCCTTTAGAGTTCCTGGAGAAAATCCATTTGCTGGCTGGCTAGATAAAAAATTCTTCATTACCACATGGGCTTCTTCAGAGCCTAACAGTCCCGAAGACATCTGTGTTGGTTGTGGCAAATTTTCTAAGATCAAAACCACAAATGCTGGTAGAAGATCACTGTGTTACTTAGAACATTTGAGACTTTCATATAACAATGGAATAAGCACAAATACAGTTAATATGAAACATGTAAAAAATTAATTACAGCTTTCTTATTTTTTTGAAATTATACTGCTGAGTTTCTTCTCTTCAGTCTCTACAAGTGAAAATTGTTCTGGTTTGTGAGAAAGATGTTTAAGAAACAAAACTAGAAACTTAACCCAAGACACATTACGTTTGGGCAGGAATCCAAAGTCAGTTGGGCAGAGCTGTAACAAAGACTGTGAGGTCTGCTGACACTGCTTCCAGACAGGCAGCGATAGTGTTCGTGTCACGATTTTTAAAGACAACTGTCCTCTTTGATCAGGATTTCAAAGGAGGGACCACCACACTGATGCACTTAGTTGTTAGTCAACATATATTCCACTTAAATATCTGCAGATTTCATTCTTTGTCAAGCACTTTTTTTAGAATTATTATTGATGCAAAGGTAGAGACTTGCTTTCCATATTTGTTATATTAACATCTTCATTTATTTTCCCAGTTCAGAAAGAAGGATATTCAAAACCATGATTTCACTTCACATTGGGTGCTGCGGACATCACGACAATAGGCCTTTCTACAGTGGCCACAAGGACACATGGAAGCTGAGTTCCACTTGCGCTCACACACCAAGCATTGACTGCCATTGGTTTGGAGTTCCATTACATTAACATCCTCCCAGATCATGCCTTCCGGAATGGGATCCAGATTCATTTTTTATTAGTATTCCATTTGTAATGTTACTTGGACTACTCCACTTATGTATATAATAATATACAGTCATAATAATTATTTATTAGTGTACTCTTTCCAAAGTGTATTTTAAAAGCATGATAAACTTACCTTAGAGAGCCCACCTACTTCCAAATAAAAGCAGATAATGAACACATTCCAGGTGACCCAGAGGGCAGTCCATACTGTATACTAGAGAGAGAGCAAGAGGGTGGGGAAAAAAGAAGAAAAAATATGGAGATGAAAGGCATGTATACTAAATAAATCAATAACAAAATGTCAGTACGTCTGTCTTCTGGGAAGAAACAGGGCATGCTCAGGGAAGAGTGCTCCTTATGAGATCCCCTAAGATCTCTAGAAATTAAAAATCCAATAGTTTCTACTGCTTTCAGTAAATGCCAGTAGAGCTAGATATATTCTTAAAGTGTTTTGCTTGCTTGCAGATACAGGTTAAATCCACCACTGACTTGATTTTTGTTTTCTGAGCATTAGCTTTTCCAGGGAATGAAGCTTTGCAAATCTTGGTGGTTGTCTCTCTATCTATCTAATTTTTGGTTACAATATTAAATTGTCAAGTTTTGGGGAAGGTTAGGCAAAATCCACCCCTTCCCTATCCCTAAGTGAGAATCATGTTTGACAATGGATGTGTTGTGTGGAGTAAAATTAACACACTTTCACCTGTTATACTATTTTATTATGACTGAAATGTGTACCTCTAATATACTCTTACGATGGAATATCATCATATAAAATATCTTTTAAAATCACAGAAATAATAAATAAGAATAAAAATGAGCAAATGAGCAACAGATTTAATAATAATGGGAAAATCCTTTCCAATCACATCCAACAAACTCTAACCATGCTAGCCGTGCTGATCCACTGGCTTTGTTAGTGTGTGTGAACTAGGGAGTGCCTTCCTCAAGAATGTTAGTCAGTCTGAATTAATGGAGGAGGTCTAAGGGCCCGATTCATCCAGTCATTTTTGTATGTACATGGAGAAACTGAGGCCCAGAAAACTGACATATAGATCAGCTTAGGTGACTGAGGATGGTACTTACCACGGGAACACCATTACAGACCAGACACAATGGCTTACTCATTTATTTTCACTTTACCACAAAAACCTATGAATCCTTAATTTCTGAAAGGAGCATACTAATTACATGATTGCATACTAATTACTAATCACACACTATTGTCAAATTAAAATAGATATAGAAATCATTTCATTAGCTTATTCTATGCTGTGTCAAAGAATATAACTATAAATTTTAAACCCCATATAAAATAGCCCTGTTCCTATTAGAAATCTTATTGGAAGCCTTTAGTTATTTATAAAATTTAATTCATACTTTGTATCTTTCTGTTATTTATGATTTTCAAAAAGCTTTCAAAATAATCACATATTGTGTAGTTATATAATTGGGTATTTTTGATATCTTTTTTTTCTTTCTGGAGAACAGGTTTTGCTTGTTTTTTTTTTAAATAATGCAATCAAAATATGAATTTAGGTCTCAAAATCACTGGAAATTCAGAGAAGTTGGAAGTGTGTTAAAAAGTTAAAATAAGTTAAACAGCGTTTAGTGTTTGCAGATATATTGATTCTCTGTTGACATCTTCTGCTACTAGTATCTTCCAGTATGAGTGACCTTGGGCATTTCAAAATGTGCCAAATGCATTAAAACATACTTTTTTGAACCACAACATGTGCCCACGAATGTTGAAAATAGCTAAACTACATCTGCAGTTTATACTTTTTGTATACTGATCAGGCCACAGTGACCATAACAATGTTAAAACTGTTGCTAAGAAGATGGGTTCTGGTATCTGACGTTTTTCACTCTAAATCAATCTAATTATGAATATATGAGAATGAGAGAAGTTGCAGACCACTAAGTAATTTTTAAAAAGCCACTAAAAAAGGTTAAGAAAAGGACATAAACTAAATCAAGACTAAAGGAAGAAATAAGCTGAATTAATTGCAAAGCCATATAATTTTTAACTGTTAGGACTACAAACCTAACCCTTAAGTATATTTTTAGGAATGTCAATCAACTCATAGTTATCAAAAATGAATTGCAAAACAAATCTATTTAAAAATCAGAGCACAAGTGCAGTGATTGAAGTGTAGGATCTCTCTCCAGCTGCACTATTGATGCCACTTCTGAACTTTCAGAGATGAAATTCCCAGTCTGAACAGACTCCAACTATCATCTGCTAAATTGTTAATCACCAGAGTGATTACTATGCTGCTTTCTGTGTTCCTGGTACTGTGCTGAGCACTTTACACAGATCAATTTATTCAATCGTCACACTGAAATCGAGGTAGGGAGGGGGTCATTTTATAGCTTCATGTCACTGTTGGGACGGAAACTCGAATAGTTTGACTCCGGAACTGGGGTGCCTATGGATTACATAATAAGTTTCATTTTTAAAAATCTTAAGAAAAGGACTATGGATTAGTTTGAGAGTTAATGCTCTACCTAAAAATTGCAGTTTATCAAATAATCAATTCACTGAACTATCAGTTTATCAAAAATTTATTTTGTGTGTATGTATTCTATAACTGGCAATGTTTTAGGAATGATGGTTTCTTTTGCATTTTGTGATTAATGTGTTTGCATGATATGGACATCATTTTTTAAAGAAACGATGTAAGTTTCTCCTCATACAAAGATAATTTGTATGATTAACTTCTAGATTGTAATGAGGTGAAAACTGTATACCTCAGTGTGCACCTAAGACACGAGTCTTTACATAGAAACAAAGGGAAAGAAATCTCTAGCAATACAAATGTGTCCATAAATAGTTTTACTTAGGCATGAACTGTTTGGACAACATATGTATTCTTTTTAAAAAAATAATTTTTATGTTTTTATCAAGGACATTCTTTTTTTTAAAGTATTTATTTATTTATTTTTAGATAGGGGGAGGGAGGGAGAAAGAGAGGGAGAAAAACCAATGTGTGGTTGCCTCTCATGTGCCCCTTACTGGGAACCTGGTCCACAACCCAGGCATGTCTCTGACTGGCAATTGAACCAGTGACCCTGTGGTTTGCAGGCCGGTGCTCAATCCACTGAGCCACAGAAGCCAGGGCTATATATTCTTTCTTGATGTGGGTTATTTTATTTATAATTCAATTGAAAGAAGAAGAAGAAAGAGATAAAACTCCACTTTTAACGCTCTTTGATCATCATGGAGCATGCCTTTATGTTCACATATCTAGATAAATATATTTACAGTACAGAAAACTTAACTTCCCAATGGAAAAAATAAAACAAAAACAAAGCCACTCTATACTCATCTCTCATCTATCTACCTATTTATCCCACTTTAAGTTAAGCACACATATTTTAAATCCTAATTCACATAGACAAAAGACTATAAAGATTTTTTTTTAAGTTCATGTGTTCTATGTGGTTTGGGAAGTATTTCCCAGTTTTATGAAGATATTTCAGCATTTTCTAATTGAAATGAACTTTAGACACCTTGCAGTCTGTTTCTCTGTTGTCGAGCAATTAGTCTATAACATGATTTGTTTTTACTTCCTAAGCTTTTTTGCTTTCCAATGACCAAAAAGCACATTCATTCATTCAATTCATTCATTCATTCATTCATCCATGTGTCAATCAGATAAAATGTTATATACAATAGGTTAGAAAAAAGAAGACATTACACAGCTCAATTATTTATTAAGCACTATCTCTGTTAGGTTATGCTAAGCAAGTCACGAATATTATATAATTCTTAAAAACAACCATGAATCAGGATTTTACAAACTAAATATGGTACAAAGAAAGCAAATAAGTGTCCTAAGTGTTCACAGCCTTTGGTGAGGGGGGATTTATATCTGGCACCAACGAAATGCAAAGCTAACACTCATAACTGTCACGCTGGGCAATGAGTAGCCCAGGAAGGAGATGTATAATGACAAACGACATAGTAGGGAAATTTTCCTATAGAACAATTTAAATTTAAAGCAAGTGGCTGTCCTTTGTACATGAGCATTGGCATAAACATACGAATGACTAAACTGTTGGCCTGGAAAATTTACGTGGCTTTTTAAAAGTTTAAAGGCAAATTTGAGTTAATTTTAACTTTAAAGTTAATCTTTATTTAAAATATGTTAAATTAGCTAATGTTTCTACTTTATATCAATTGAAAACTGCTTGATTAAATTAATTGATTGCCCAGGAAATAATAATGATTTAAACAATTCTAGGGCACGGCCTCAGTTTGGAATTCATAAGTAAGATTTTTGAATATCTGACATAGGAGTAGACAGGAGTGAAAGGCTGATCCTAAAACAGTACTTACGACCGCTAAACAGGGTTTCATAGCCCGCACTCTGCTCCATGTTGCCTCTAAAGAAACACAGAAGGTGCATTCAAACGCAACTAAACTTAGTATTCCCTAATGTACATATGCCACCTTACAACATAGCTTAACACAAATTTTAATCAGCAAAAGAGTACTATATAACAAAGTTGTTTTGTGTTCTAAAAATACTCATAGAAATAGCAAATTATACCTTTCCAGTAGTGACAGTATCCAAGGGGAATTATTACTCTCTCATTTTGTGATTTAGGCAAATTTTTCTTATAGCCTGTGCTGTGAGGCCTCAGTTACAGTGGCAGGAGCCCAAGATATTATCATGCTTAGAAAAAAAATAAGTTGATTGACGTAGGTGCCGGCAGAGAAGCACACACTATTTTTTTCATGTGAATCCTCAAGTCAGATTGAGATAAGCAAGGCAGTAAGGCCAAGTTTTCTTGTCAAACTCAGACATGTTCTTGAATTAGAAATTGCTTCCTGCTCACCCTGTAAAATCACTTCATCCAATAATGTTTAATTCATTTATTATTTGTTCAGTCAAGTATTAAGCACACTGGGATAGACAATGGAACACAGCAATGGATAGGCCTGGTCTGCCTGACAGGAGAACCCTGTTGAAAGGGGTGAGGTGGGCCGGAGGCAAGGATGGTGACTGTGTAGAGCAGGGGTGGCAAACTCATTTTCACCGGGGGCCACATCAGCCTCGTGGGTTGCCTTCAAAGGGCTGAATGTAATTTTAGGACTGTATAAATGTAGCTACTCCTTAACTAGGGCAAGGAGCTCGGTGCTGCTGCTGGGTAGGAACAAGGTGCCGGGCCAGATAAGACAAGGTGGATGGCTGGATTTGGCCCTCAGGCCTTGTGTTTGCCACCTGTGGTGTAGAGAGCAAGGAGAGAAAGAATCTGAAGGATCTAAGAGCAGAGAGGAAGTGGCACTTATCCCAGACAGGGGTGATCAGGTGAGGCTTTTAAGGGGTGACCATTCAGTTGAAAAATTATTTTCCGCTTCCCAAGCAGGTAAGGGGCAGAAGGCATTCCAGGTGTGTGCAAACTGAGGAGGCAAACAGCATGTGGCCTTAGGAAAGCACACAACACTCAGAATGGTGGCAGGAGATAGCGTGTGGAAAGAAGTGTGTGTGTGAAAGAAAAAAGGTTGCTAGAGCTGGGCACGAACACCAGGCACGGCTACACATGTGAGAGGCTAGAGGAAAGATAGAAATGGGGGGTCCAGGATGCTGAAGGCACAAACTCTCTGTCCTTTCGCATCTCTGAGGCTGGCTCATGCTCTCCTCAGGCCTCTGCCTCATCACGTTCTCATTCTCCAGAAACCCTGTACCCTGTGCCTCTGCACACATTACTTAATGAGCTCCTGGAGAGCAGCAATGCCATCACTTACATTCTTTTCTATTTGTTCAACCCTATCACAGTACAGTAGGTTCTCAATAAATGCTTAATGAGTGAATGGGAACTAGTGCTACTGACATCCTACTATGTGCCTTACAATGCTTCCTGCCCAGAACCCTTCCAGCCCCTTCTTCCCTGATGAACTTAAACTCACACTGCACTCCTCTGCTCTGTATTCGCTGCTGCAGGATCAGATGGATGCCCACGTTACCCACCTCATGGCAGGTGTGCACCTTGTCACAGTTACAGTTTAACATTTTTGTGGGTGATTATTTCATAAAAGCCCACTTCTCCTCACCAGACTGTAGGTACCCAGGAGGACAGAATATCAATGTTTGTGTTTGCTCACCAATGTGCCCTGCACCTAAAACAATGCCAAATACACAGCCGAAACTCAATATACAAGGTTTAAATGAATACATAAATAAAAGAGGAAGGAGGGAAGTTAAGAAAGAAAAAAAGGGAAGAAGGAAGAGTGGAAGGGGAGAAGAAAGGAATGAAAGAAGGAAAAACTGATTGTGAGACCTGATTTTGGTTAGTTTGATCAACCGAGATTATTCTTATATTTTATCCTGCTGAGAGTCCATGATGGCTTTTAAGCCAGTGGTTCAGGAAAAGAGCAAAGGACACATTGGAAGGGAGGACGGCTGACTCCAGGCAAGAAGCCCATATACAGGAGAGAGAATGCAGATGCCTCAGCTTAGATAGTTGTGTGGAGAGCATGAAGAACCAAGGTTTGGAGGGTAGGAGCAATCGGACTAGTTAATGTCACTACTGTATACCAACAGTTTCATCCCATAGAAGCCACTGGTTTCACAGCCCTCTGGCATTTTGTGCTTCAGCAGAACACCAACATTGTAAAATAAAAAGTTCATACTAAATAAGAGTGCTCTGTGTTCACTGCAACGAACTAGAACATAAAATCCAACAGTATTTGGTATTATGTATATAAAGCATTTTGTACTGCAAGTCCAATTCCAGGAGACACCTTTCTAGTACATTATACCATGGCTTAGCAGAGGCTCAGAGAAGAAATCGAGAGCAAGAACTGCGGGCCTGCCGGTGGAGTGATGCCTGTCACTGCCGGGCCCCGGGCGGCCATTCTGAGCTTAGAGCCTGTGCTGTGGGTCACTGACCTTCACTCTGGGACATGATGAAAGGTATCAAAGAGTCAATTTTGAGATTCAAAATAGAGAATGCATTTCTGGAAAACTTTCTAACTTAATTCTTTTCTATAGATGTGGTTGGATTAAATCAAAATGGAAAGATCGCATATTTTAAAGTCTAGGTTTTCTTCTAATGAGGCAATGTTATTATTGTATTACAAGAAAATATTCCATAATTCTACTGAATACTGTATATTTTTTCAGGCTCAGCGAGCATTTTAGAGCATGCTGTTTCTATGTACAATTATTTGTCTATGCTTGTTATTTCTTACAACCTTCTTATACATGCAGCCTAAAATATTATCTTCTTTTTATAGAAAACTAATTACTGTGAAGAACTTCCATTTCACTGTCGCTCACCACAGACCCCTTGTCCAATTGTCCTCCAAAGGAGGGGGTGCTGACACTGTTTGGTGTGGTTTGTAGTATGGATTCACATTCCAAATTTCTTTTAATAAAACGGGAAGTGTTCAATAACAGACTATACAAAATACAGTAGAGGCAAGTACTGAATAACCTTTAATACATGCATTGGTAGTGTCCTAAATCAATTACAATTATATTACATTATTGTTTTCAGTTAGCAGTTATGGCTAGGTAGGTTAGCTTTGTAGGGTGATATATACATGTCAATTTAAATGACAGTTAATGTATATTTACATCTCATTGTAACATCAAGACATCAACAAACCTCTTACTCTATCTACCCAAGCCCCACTTTAAATTTAATGACAATTCCTTGTGAGACTGGAACTTAGTTAACACTGTGAGTCTCACATTTACAGACGTGTCGCTTTGCTGTCTTTGTAAACATTCACTGTCACCCTGTCCAAAGGTAATTGTCTCCTAACAGAATTCAGTCTGTGACAGCTACAATGGCAATGCTGAGTCATCACTGAGGGAGCAACTTCAATCATTCATTTCCTCACAGCAATTCTGTAGTGATTATACAAACATGGGAAAAATAAGACTTACCACCACGATGTATCGGGGTCTGTACTGAATTGTTCCGAACAAACCCAGAATGACAACTATTATGTGTAGAAAATTTCCAAGAATAGGCGCCCACTGGAAACCAAGGAAGTCAAAGATCTGCCTCTCCAATGCTGAAAGCTGGAACAAAACAAGGAGAACCCATGAGCACCTCACCCAAGCATAATCACTTCATTCTCATCTTCGTTTTACAGTTAGAGAAGTCGGCATGTTCTTCACAGTAACGGACAGCATTATTGCTAGAGTTGTGATACCTATTTCATGTACTGTTTTATATAGCTGTTCTCAGAAAATATACTAAGATAACTTTGAGCATTATGACTTAAAGTATCAATAGGTCTTAAACCTACCTGGAGAGCTATACTCCTTAAATCATTTTCTACAGTAGAAAAATCTAGACAGATATTTTATGACACTATATTTTATGGTAGTAATTCATCATTATTTTTAGTAAAATGGTTGGCTTAGTATAACATATTTGGAACCGTAACTCCAGAGTGGTGATGCTAACATGAGTATTGTTTTAAAAAAACAACCCCCTATCATCCCTGCCTTCCTCTTGAAATAAAAATGATCAAATCTTCTGTTTTGTTTATTTTCCTTTCATTGGGCTGTCACTGATGATAATGACATGACCAACCACTTTTTCAAAATGAAGCTTATTTTATTGATTTCCTCTGAGCTCAATGAACTCATGAAAAACTAAAGAATCCCTTTGAATCATATTTTTTGAGATTACATACCTTCATGAAAATCCATCTTAGGTTAGGTAGAATCATCATTTTTGAATATCCAAATAAATATTATGGAGCCATAACAGTTTTAGATATGCCATAGTTTATTGTATTTGCATGATACAAACCACACTTTTAAATAGTTCCAAAATGTATTTAAAATACACACAGAAAGCACTTATGATGGGAGAGATGAATTTTGTATAGTCCAGTGAACGCCAACAATGTCATTATCATGTACACACAATATTTATTGTATTCTATATCTAAAAAATTTATGATTCCACCTGCTGTATTTGGACACTAATCTCACACATTTCAAGCATTTTTCTAGATTTACTTTGATATAATAGTAATTCTAATAAAATGATCCAACCATTAGCCATACTTATGGCCCTAGAAACTGCAGATTTGAAATGAAAATGGTACCCTAGGTATTTTTCTAGTTACGTGGCAGGTGTATGCCTGAATAGCTTTAATTTCCTTGGACATAAAGACATGTCCACCATCCAGTAAGCAAATCTACCTTGGTTAAGATTCACCTTCAGCAAGCTGTGGACGAGAAAAGAGCAAATGCTATAGACAACCAACCAGAACCACATTCATTTCATGGATATTTCCTGATCATCAAGTGATTTGTCACCATCCTGCACTCACAGAGGGGAGGGGAGATGCACAGGAATGGCTAAAAAAAATAATCAGAGCATGATAAGGAGCAGCACCTGCCTCGGTTTCAATCCTGTTTGTCTCTGCTTGTGGCTCTAATTTGGTCCCAGGAACCTTTCCCTAAAATGCAGCAGCAACTGCAGGCAATTTATTTTGAGAAGCAACCTATTTTAAAGTTCTCGCACATCACAAAAACCTTTAAAGTGAACTTTTCAAACAGAGAAAACCTCATTTTTTGTCAGAAAATTTATGGATAGCATTCTCTTTTATGATATTAAAAAAGCATGCATAATGAATATAAGCCACATTAACAACAATTATCAGAAAATCCACACTCCTTATTGAAGGCACTGTATCTCTCTATTTATTAATGTTTGTTCTCTGATAACTTAAAAATGGACCTATGGTGGCTTGAAATGAGGGCACAAACACAAGGCCATTAAGAAAATCAAATGGGGGATCATACCAACCAGAACTATACCAGACCAGGCAAGAAGCAGCTATAACAACTGTGCAAACCTTGAACACTAGATTTGAGTATTGTATTTTATTATTTTTTGTAAACCTTCACCTGAGGATATGTTTATTGATTTTAGAAAAAGAGGAAGGAGAAGAGAGAGAGACAGACCGACAGAGAGACAGAGAGAGACATCAATGTAACAGAGAAACATAGATTGGTTGCCTCCAGTATGTACCTTGACAGTGGTCGAACCTGCAACCTAGGCATGTGCCCTGACTGAGAATTGAACCCATGCCTTTCAGTGTATGGGACAACACTCCAACCAACTGAGCCACCCAGCCATGGCTGAGTATTGTATTTTAAAAAGTCAACTAATGACATCAAAAAGCCTTTCAAAAATAAAATGCCACTGCAATTTTTCTTAATTTTTAATCTAAATTGTATGTTAAGCTCTTCAGACATTTAGTTTATAAGCAAATATTTTCTCTCTACATGTCATACTCTAGAGACATCACTTTTTGCCTCAGAGCTTGACATTAATAATAATGGCCCAGAGCCACTAAAAGAAATTAAATGATATCCTGGTTGCTTTGTTAACTCAGGAGAAGTTTGAATATATTTTAGACATCTCTCTGTCAAAATGGTTCTCACCAATGGTGTGCTGACGCTGCTGGCACAGGCCTATGGATGTGGATCAGATGCATCTCTTCCCAACTCCAAGGTCAGTGACCTCAAGCTGGGAACCTGACATCAGCAACTATGGGAATATTTATAACATGAACATTGGGAAAGGCTAAAAATAAGGGTTTTGTGTGTGTTATGAGAGCTTATGGCTGTACATTTAGCTGCACATGGCTGACTATGCTGTCTGGAAAACAATGGTTCTGAGGCAGGAGGGCAGTGAGAGAAAGTGGCCGCATGTGCACTGTAGCCTAGAAGGAAAGCAACCTGTCTGGGCCAGAGCGGAAGGCTAGGGGCCCCAAAGAGGGAAGCTGCACAGAGGCCATAGCAAAGAAGAGAATGGATGAGACATTCGAAGAATTTGAAGTTTAAATAAAAGTAGAGAATTCAAAAAATTATAAAAGTAACAAGACATCCCAGAGAAAGCAAAACCAACCAGTCACCAGTTTCAAACAGGAAGCAGTGATGTAAAGAACAATAAAATCATTTCTTTTTTTTTAAATCCTCACCCAAGGATATGTTTATTGGGGAGAGAGGGGGGAAAGAGAGGGAGGAAGGGAAGGCAGAAATGACAGAGAGAGAGAGAGAGAGAGAGAGAGAGAGAGAGAGAGAGAGAGAGAGAGAGGGAGAGAGAGAGAGAGAGAGAGAGAGAGAGAGAGAGAGAGAGAGAGAGAGAGAGAGAGAGAGGGAGAAGCATCACTACAACCTAGGTATGTGCTCTGAATGGAGATCAAACCCAGTATGCCGCACTTGTTATGATGTAAATGTTGCTTACAGGATGGTAACTTTCACAATCAAACTGTAGAAAGCTTGGAAGTCTTCATTACAGTTATGGAACAAAATGTAAAGCATCATTTGACCATGTAAAGTACAATGTTTGTAACACAGATTGGGAGAGGCTGAATGTTTTGTGCCTAAATTCTGTCGCTATATGGCAAGGGGAAAGGAGTGAGTTTTAACAGTTCTTACCTCAGGATCAAGCATGTCCTTTCATCAAGCTCCAAGGTGAAACATTCCTCTAAATCTATGAATCTTAACCACACCTCACATTAACCATACATACTCCCAATGGCTCAAGCAGTATCCCTGCTTCCTTATTTTAGACCCAAGGAATATAGACACAAACAAATAGAAACACCTTCAAAACAGTAGTTTTCTTACTGATCCATATATTATGCTTAATGCTTCACATGGTATTATATATTATGCTTAATGCTTTACACTGTGCACATGGTATTTTGCACAGTTGCTTATAATTATTGATATTTGTGGGAATTAATTTGCATGTAAAGAGCTGTGAAAACTCTAGCCAACCAAACATTTTCCTGAGCATTTACCTGAGCATTGAGGGGGCAGAATAAGCTTCTGCCCCCTCAAAAGCTGGGCAAGCGCTCATTCTTAAGGAGTGAGTGAGTGGGTGCCTTTGGAGATTCAACTTCATAGGAAGATGAGCTGCCTTTCATTCTGACTCTTGGACTCGCTCCCAGAGCATTAGGAAAGATAGAAATGGGGTTACTCGTGTTTGCACAATCATAAGAAAGCATTTGATCAAATGATAGTTTCTGAAAAGACTGGAGAATTAAAGCATATTGTGTGACCGACACCTTTATCTGTACAACCAGCAGTCTGGGATTTCATGAGGTATTTTATAACCATGAAGATTCAAATCTTTCCTTAAAGTGGGAATTTAAAAGCTCTAATTAATATTCCTATAGCTAAGTGGATACATCCTGGGCCATGTCCAGCAGGTTTTGGGTTACTAAGTGGGTTTCTTTACGTCTGGAAAGGCCACATGGCCTGTAGCTCCACCACCATCAGCCATGATTCCTTTGCCCTAAATCTCATAGCGCTCAGTTCCCCACAGACGTTTCATGCTTAAGGTTGATGGTGCCCAACTCCTGTGTTCATGGATCTGGCCTCGGTCTAATTATGATCTTATATGATAAGCTCTAATTTTTGAATATTTTTATGGTTCTGATAAAAAAGGGCCATTTGCATTTGTATCATTATCCTACTTCATCCAGAGGTGTGATTGAGTCCTAATAACTTGGAGATTTGCCACTCTCTTTTTTAAAAAATATTTTATTTATTTTATTTTTAGACAGAGGGGAAGGTAGGGAGAAAGAGGAGAGAAACATCATTGTGTAGTTGCCTCTCATGTGCCCTACCACTGGGGACCTGGCCCACAACCAGGCATGTGCCCTGACTGGGAATTGAGCCAGCGACCGTGTGGTTTGCATGCTGGCACTCAATCCACTGAGCCACACCAGCCACGTTCTGGTTTATCACTCTCTTAAAGCAGGTGCTATTTTAGAGGAGTCACTATGTGTCCATAGACAGGTGACCAGACGTTAGGATACACACAAACTTTGATGGATCCAGGAACTCCAGATCATGGCGTGATCATGATTTGAATCACCCAACAATGACAGTAATAGAGTTTCTGCAAACCATAGTCTCTGCACAGTTTTGTATTATTTTAGGTAGGGGTTAGATAGCAAAGGCTATTACAATGAAATCAGAAACTGATCATTTGGTGAGATGAATAAAATCAAATCAAGTTTAATATACCTCCTTTT